CTCACTGTGTAGCCCAGGCTGGCCTCAAACTCATGGTGATCCTCCTGCCTCAGCCTCCCGAGTTCATGTGTCACCACACCTGGCTTCTTTGTCTTTTTCTTTTCCCACCATCCTGGGGGTGGAACCCAAGGCCTGGTGCTTCTGGGCCAGCACTTTATCACTGAGCTCCATCCCTGGCTCTGCTCCCATATTGCTTAGGAATAATTTCAGTCATCCAATGTCACCATGTTGCTTTGATATTTGGTTTTCACTGTGCTTTTCAGGTTTTGATGCATATTTAAGCACTCCTGTCTTTCTCATGATAGGGATTGCTTTTCTTTTTGGTTTGTTTTGTTTAGCTTGTTTGAAAGAAGATCTGTGTTTCCGGGACTGGTCTTGAACTCTCAATCCTCCAGCCTTAAGTCACCATGGGAGCTGGGATTACAGCATGCATCACCATGCCCAGCTGTCATATCAGGCTCCTCTTTGCTCCCAGAATGTGATGATTCATAAACGATTATTGAGTAAAGCACACAGAAATCATGAAGTTAATTTCTTGGTTTGGTTTGGGTTTTTGAGACAAGGTCTCACTATGTAGCCCAGCCTGGCCTGGAACTCACAGTGACCTTTCTTTCGCACCCTCCCGAGTGCTGGGATGTCAGATGTGTGCAGCCACACTGGGCTGATTATACAGTTTATTTCTAAATCTCTTTTTTTTTGGTACTGGGGATCGAACTCAGCACCTTGCCCTTGCGAGGCAGGCAGCAGCACCACTGAGCTAAATCCCAGGCCCGGTGAAGTGTATTTCTAGAACAGAGGGAAAGCGTGGTCACCTGACTCCCCCTGGGTGCCCAGGGCTGGACTGACATTGTTACCACGCAGCCCGGTGTGGGGCAGGAGCCCCTGTAGCCTGGAGGAAGCCGAATGTAGGCTCTGGCTGCCTCCACCTCCGGCTCAGCCTCTGAGCTCCGCCAGTGGAACCTGAGAAGCCCGTGGGAGAGTTGCAGCCTCGTCTTGCCTGAGGGGACTGGGCCCAAAGTTCTTTTCCTCATTTGCTTTGTGGCTCTTTCTTTGAATTTTTTTTTCCAGTACTGGGGATTGAACCCAGAGCCTTCGCACTGAGCTACATCCCCAGCCCTTTTGGTTTTTTATTCTTATTTTAAGACAGGGTCTTGCTAAGTCACTAAAGGCTGGGCTCCACCTTGTGACCCTCCTGCCTCAGCCTCCCTCGCGCTGGGGTTACAGGAGTGCCGCCATGCCTGGCTGCTTCGTGCCCTCCGGCTGCACTGCGGCCCTGGACAGCTTCTGCTAAGCTAAGCACAGCGAGGGCCCAAGAGCTTGACCGGCAGCTGTAGACGTAAGCCCGGCAAGGAGGAAGGGGTTGCCCTGGGACCATCCAGGTCATTATGCTCACCCAGGAGGGTCCTGCCCCCCACCCAGAAGCTGCCCCGCTGTACACGGTGACCCTGCAGTTACCATGGTGACGCGGACCCTGCAGTTATGGAAGAAGAGTCAAACTCTCAGTCAGCCCCTGCCAGTGCATTGTCACTGACTACCACACCTCAAGTGCTGTCACCAGCTGGAGCCAGGTGGAACGGCAAGTCCAGGGACTTGGCAGAAGAAGGAATGGCTATGCTGAGCGTGGCAGGGCGAGGCTGTCCACACTGGGGAGGCTGAGACAGGAAGATCACAGGGGAGTTTGAGGCTGGCCTGGACTACATAGTGAGACCCTGTCATAAAAAAACAAAGTAAATAAATAAAATAGAAGGAATTAGCCGGGGAATATGAGTTGGGCCTTTTTTTTTTTTCTCGGTACCGGGGATCGAACTTGGGACCTTGCGTTTGCCAAGGGAGGCAGCAGCACTGCTGGGCTAAATCCCGGCCCTATATTTCTTTAGGGTTTAGTGGTCATTCAGGGTGCATGAGTGAGCCTCTCAGTGAGTTAGCACACAGGGGCACCATCATTTCACAGACCCTCTCTCCACCCCGCTCCTCTTTCCCCCTTCCCCAAATCCCATTCTCACTGCCACATAATCTACCTCCATGTTCCTGCCATCTCTTTTATTTTGCTCTTTAAGCTACTTCTGCTTGGGGTTTCTCATATAAAAGAAATTATACAATATTCAGCCTTCATTTCACTTAACATTATGGTCTCGAGGTGCCTCCAGTTTCCCACAAATGACTCAACTCTTTCCTTCTTCATGGCAGAGTAGTGCTCCACGGTGTGCACATGGCTCATCTCACTTAACAGGACGACCCCCGGTTCTGCCCATTTTCCCGCCTTTTTCCTCATCTATGTCTGAGTGACCTCCCTTTAGAGATTTCTCTGTTCTCCAGCCCCTGGCAGTCAGGACCATTGCAGCACTAGAGTGGGTGTGCAGCATCTCTGCCTGGTGACATCATTTCCTGAGTGTAAACCAAGGAGTGGTGGGACTGGGTCACAGGACCGGCCTGCTTTTCGTTTTAAAGAACCCTCCATGCTATTTCCCGTAAAGGCTGTTCTCATTTACAAACCCCAGCGTGTATAATGCTTTCTTTTTCCCTACATCCTTGCCAGTGCATTATTTTTGTTTGGCTGTTTGTTTTTTTCAGGGCGGTGGGGTTTGAGACAGGGTCTTGGTATGTAGCCCACCCTGGCCTCCAACTCAGCGATCCTCCTCCCTCAGCCTCCCGAGTGCTGGGATTATAGGTGTGTGCTATCTCACCTGGCCCCAGGCCCTTTTGTCATATTTTTATTTTGAGACAGAGTCTCACTAAATTAATGAGTTGCCAGGCTGGGCTCAGACTTGCAGTCCTCCTGCCTCAGCCTCCCAGAGAGGAGGGGTTACATGCATATTGTTATTTTTTGTCGGATGTTTGGAAACTTGATAATTTTTAAATTATTTTAGCTATAATAACAAAGCATTGTTATCTTTCAAAAATGACTACATCCAAGCCCATATTCTACATATTCTGTTGGGACAAAGGACATTTTTTACTAAAAATATTTAATTTAATTGTCTCCTCCCAGGTTTCCCCAGGCCAGCTGTGAAGTTTCACACCCAAAAATAAACATTCAATTAACACAAAGCCTTTTGTTTTTTGTTCTAGAAGCTTTAAAGACACGTACTTCCATGCAGTGTAGGTTTTCAAAATCAAGGTTCCTAAGTGCACACAATGAGGCTGACAGGAAAGGAAAAATGGTCACCATTAAATTGGTTAAAGTCTAACTCTGAACTGTCAGTCCTATTGTGTGATTGCCCTGGGACAAACACAGCAGGTGGGAGCATAAATTGGGCCAGGAAATAACCCAGATCCGGCTGGCAGTGAAGGAGTGAGCCAAAAGTCCATCCCAGAGCTTCCCAGGCCTTGGGATTTTGGTTTTACAGGATAGGAAAAATGGGCAATTATTGAAGTATTTTGGCATTTAATCTCACTCACTTTCTTTTTCATTGGTTAGTTGGGGTTTTGTTTTGTTTGTTTTTGTTTTTGAGACGGGGTCTCACTATGTAGCCTGAGCTGGCTTCCAATGCCTTGTGATGCTCCTGCCTCAGCCTCCCCAGGGTTAGGACTGGAAACCATACATCACTATCCCTGGCTGGTTAGTTGGTTTTGAACCAGGGTCTGGCTATGTAGTCCAGGCTGGTCTTGAACTCCTGGGCTCAAATGATTCCCGAGTAGCTGGGACTACAAGTGTGCGGCACCATGCCCAGGAGTCTCCTCTGTGTGAACAGGATTCTAGAGTGGAATGGACATAAAGGCAGAGAAAGTTCTGGTAGTGACCCAGTAGTGGGTGCTGGTCAGCAGGGCCAGTAGTTGGGAAGCTGTCTAGAAGCAGAATAGGGGTAAAGGAAGAGGAGACAGGGTCTCATTATATAGCTCCGGCTGGCCTCGAACACACAGCAACCCTTGTGCCTTGGCCTTCTGAGTGCTGGGATTGATAAGGATGCACAGCATGGCAGGTCTTTCTTCCCACCCTCACCCTGGCAATGTTTTGGTTTTTATTTTTTGCCAGGAATCATAAGATATTGTGTTAAAGCCACCTACACTGCAAATATAACTGTTCATGCTGCAAGATGTTCCTGCCCAATGTTTCGAGATACTCTGTTAACTCTGCCCTTCTGCTTCTGTAAACATGCTTGCTGGGTAGGTGGCCCCAACTCCCCTACCCCATAGATCCCTATGTAAGGTTGCTTCCATTTCTGTTCAGGGCTCAGACTTCAGAGTTCAAACTCCTCTGGGCCTGTGAGGTAATACAGTTTGGTTCCCTCCATTTCTCCGAGTGCTGCTGGGTTTCTTCGGGTAGCTGTCACACTGGTCTGTAATAGGACCACAGTTTGAGTTGCTTTGAGATTTTCTAAAATTTTCCATGTAGGGCTAGGGATATAGCTCAGCAGTGCAGCCTCTGCCTGGCAAGTGTGAGGCCCTGAGTTCAATCCCTGGTACCAAAAATAAATAAATAATAAAATTTCCATATTGCTGGGGAGGCAGCTTGGTATGAGATTGCCTTTGAATGACAGGGTGAGAATATATGATGAACTGTTTCTGTTTTATTACAGCTTCCTATAATGCTTGTGGCCAGTTTTCGTAAACGTTCTAAGAGCTCTTCAACAGAATGCACTGTTATTGCTGCTTTTACCACACACACACACACACACACACACACACACACATGCGCGCGCGTGCGCGCAGAGCTAGGGTCCACCCCAGGGTCATGCAGATACGAGGCAGGTGGCCACCACTGTGCTACACCCCAGCTTGCTTTATATATTTTGCAACTTGATCCATTAAGAACTGAGAAGCATGCCAACACTTGGGAGGCTGAGGTAGGAGGATCACTGTGAGTTCAAGGCCAGCCTTCACTACACAGCAAAACCTTGTCTCAAAAAGTCAAAAAGGATGGTAGAAGAGGAGGAGGAGGGGGATTTTAATGGAGGCTGTGATGCACCTCAGTGGTCTGGTGCTTGCTTAGCATGTGCAAAGACCCTGGCTTCATCCTCTGCACACAGAGAGAGTTTAACTGCTTTTTTGTGTCTCCGCAGCTTTAGGTCCCTGTGGCTCCTCAAGAAGCTGGGGCTGATCCTAGGACTTGGCCTTGGCGTTGTTCTCATTGTGTCCAGAAGAGCCTTCCTTGAAGCAGTGTTGCCCAGCCTCAATCCCAAGAGCCTGCTGCCCACACTGGATGTCCCCACACTCAGCCTCCTGCCCGAGCAGCAGCTCCGGGACCTCTTCTCCCGAGACCGGCTCTGGTGAGGTCCTGGGGTTCTCTCTCTGCCTTGTCCTTCAACTCTCCTCCTGGCGCCTGTAGCATCCTGCCCTGTGGTGCCCTTTGTTTGTTTGTTGTTTGAGACAGTCTTGCTATTAGTCCAGGCTGGCCTCAAACTCTCAGTGATCCTCCTGCCTCAGCCTCCCCAGTGCTGGGGTCACAGATGTATCCCACCAATCCGGCTCTCTTGCTTGTTTCAGGCTGTTCCCTAAAAACCAGTGCACATGCGAAAACGCCCAGAGCCAAGGAGCATACAACTTCCAGAGGGCCTACAAGGAGACCGACCTCCCAGGGGTGGACGCGAGGAGACAGGCTGAGTACAAACACTTTCAGAGGAGGTAACACAGGGGGGTCGGGTCCGCAAGGGAAGGGCAGGTCTTGCCTCTCCCGAGGAGCCACTGGTAGAATTGATTGGGAACAGACAGGTGAAGCAAATCAAGGACTTCGTTCTTTAATCCAGGCTTCTAGAGCTTTGGATGTATAAAATACATAGCAAAAGGAAAAAAGGTGCTGAATGGAGGGGTCCACACCTACAATCCCAGCACTGAGGGAGGCTGAGGCAGGAGGATCACCGAGAGTTTGAGTCCAGCCTGGACAACTTAGAACTTGTGTCAAAATGAATTTTTATTTTTATTTTTTTTGAGACCGGGTCTCTATGAATTCCAGGCTGGCCTTGACTCACTATGTAGCTCAGGGTGGCCTCAAACTCATAGCGATCCTCCTGCCTCAGCCTCTCTAGTGGTGGGATCACAGGCGTGCACCACTTCGCCCAGGGTCAGTGCTTTTCTAAGTGTGTTTTGCGTAAATCGCTTCAGTAGCTTCTTGGGATTAGAGGAGGGGGAAGAGCAGGTGAGGCTGTTCCGGAGAGCTCCCTGAGGACCCGGGCTCATGTCCGCTTCTCCCGCAGAGAGGGGCTGCCGCAGCCCCCGCCCCTGCTGGCCCAGCCCAACCTGCCCTTCGGGTACCCGGTGCACGGCCTGGCAGTGATGCCTCTGCACACGATCCCTGTCCCAGGTAGGTGCAGCGTCCGCGGAGACAGTGCCCTCACGCGGCCACAGGGACAAAGGCGCTGAAGGAAGCCGTCACTCTCGGGGCGCCCGTGTGTGTGCCTCTAGAATCTTCGGGCGAAGCTGGCTTTGGCAGTCCTCCAACCCCCTGGGCATGAACATCGCTGAGCCCAGGGAGGGCATTTGGAAAGAATGCCGACAGCCAAGCCTGGTGGCCCCCGAGCCTGGCATCCCATCACTCAGGAGGCTGAGGCAGGAAGGTCTCCAGTTGGAGCTCAGCCTGGGCAACTCAGTGACTTCAAAAGACCCTGTCTCACAATAAAAATAAAAATGGGGGTGGCTGGGAGGTAATTCGGTGTGGGTTCAATCCCCAGTCCCGCAAGAAGGAGGAAGAGGAGACGGGGTGAGGAGGAAGAGGAGAGAGAACACATGTTATCAGTTGGGGGAGACTCATGCCTCTACCTCAGCATCATACCTGCTCTGGAAGCCAAAGACAGGGTCACCAGGCGACCGAGCTGCCAGCCTCCTCTGCTCAGCACCCTGGAGACAAATAGCTCCCCCCACCTGGGAAAGACCTGTGTGTCTCGCTGGGTGACAAGGACATCTGGGATCCTGAGTGTCTTGTGGAGCCAGCAGAGCCTTCTCCACCAAGGAGCAGGATCCCAGTTCCCCAAGGGATCTGACACCCAGATGTGGCAGCACATGCCTGTCATCACTTACATTTGGGAGGGTGAGGCAGGAGGATCACTGTAACTTTGAGCCCAGCCTGGGCTACACAGCGAGACCCTGTCTCAAAAAAAAAAAAATTGCCACTTGGGGGTGATTCTTTTTTTTACTGTGGTAAAAGCTACAGAACATGAAATTCACTGTTTTGACCATTTCTAAGTGCACAGTTCAGGGGCATGAATACTATTCTCATTGTCATACAACCTTTAGTCACCATGTCCATGGCTAGAATTTCTTCACCTTCCCCAGTGGAGACTGTCTTTTTGTTGTTGTTCTGTTTTGTTTGATTGCTTGGTTGGTTGTGTCAATCCTCCTGCCTCAGCCTCCTGTGCTGGGCCCTGCTTTCTGTCTCTCAGGGTGATTCCTTCTAGGCTCTGCGTACTCACAGCACCCAAAGCCAGGAGGGCAGGGGCCCTTGGACACCTGGGTCGAGGACAGTGCCCCTCTGGCAGTCCTGGTGGAGGGGAGTGACCACCGACATGAGAGGCTTTCAGGGATGTGTAGGAGTCCAAGGGGTAGGGGAGAGCCTCAGTGTCCTCTCTGATGGCATTTTTGTCCTTTTTACCATGTCCACCAGGTCTCCGGTTTGAAGGGCCGGATGCCCCGGTCTATGAGGTAAGAACCCTCCTTGTCCTCCGCTCAGGGCATCTGGCCTCCTCCTCCTCCCACGGTGGCCTTACCCGAGCCCCGTCCTCGGTCTGGATGCAGCACAGCCAGGGTTGGTGCTGACTCCTGGGTGACCCGAAGCCACACACGGGCTGGGTCCTGGTACTGCTGTGGCTTCTGAGGGTTCGCTGCCACAAACCCCGAGAGAGCGACCGCTGGGTGGAGCCTGCGTTGGCTTGGGCTGCCTGAGGCTCAGCCCAGGGCTGCCCGGCTGGGTTCCTGCAGGGAGAACAGGGCTGGAGGAGGGGACGGAGGGACCGAGCAGCAAACAGAGCTCCCGCTGGCCACCGCCACCATGGGCTCCGCTGAGTGCGGCCAGCCCCTGTGTCACCTTTCTCGGTGCCCTCACCTGGACCAGACTCGCTTGTGCCTGTGGCTCTCTTCTCCTCTGGAGCAGCAGCTTCTATCGTTTGTTTTTTGAGACAGCGTCTCACTGTGTAGCCCAGGCTGGCCTTGAACTCACGGCGATCCTCCTGCCTCAGCCTCCCAAGTCCTGGGGTGACAGGCATGTGCCAGCACACCTGGCTTTTTCTTTTTTAAGTTTCCTACTGAAACCTTTTATTCTGCTTCTGTTGATGCTCACGGAAAACGGCTTTGCCTATAATTCACTGTGGCCTGGACTCCGTGACACCAACTTTTTTGGAGTCGATCAGTTTATGTGCTGCCGAAGCCAGCACTCTTGGGGCAAATTAGAATCAAAGCCAGACTGCATTTTCCTCGGGTCTGTGTGGTTGACACACGGCACTTCCCTGATGACCTTTTTCCTATTATCTTTGTTTTTGTTTTTTGTTTTTGGTACCGGGGATCGAACTCCGGTCCTTGCGCTTGCACAGCAAGCAGCGAAACCACTGAGCTAAATCCCAGGCCCCTGGATTTTTAGTTTTAACTTAGGACCAAAGTCTTGAGTTATGACCAGAAGGCCAGCTGCTTGTAGTTCCAGATGGTCTCAGACACAGATTTAACCCTTAATGAAGGAACATTGCAACAGCCTTTCCTGTGTGGGGTTCACTGAGAACTCCCGGGCCAGGGTCTCTCTAAGGACGCTGAGAGCTGCCTTATACACAGGACAGAGACTGCGAAGGCTGAGTAAGGACCCTGATCCCTCACTGACCGACTCGAGTTAGCCCTCCCTCTCCCAGCCCGCGTCTGGCCTGGAAGACCCTAGGACCGGTGGTTTCTGCATGAGCTGTGGCTCCACCTTGCTGCTTCCAATCTCTCTCGTTCTTGAAGCGTTTTTTTTAAACCCGTGACCCCAGCTGAGCCTTGCATTGTAGGGAACCGCAGCTTTTTGGTGACTTTCTCAATTTCTTCCATGGCTGCTGGTCTGTGAGCTCTCTCTTCTGAAGACAATTTTGATCCCTGGATTTCAGTTGGTAGAGGCTTCAGTCCACAGTCCTGGGCTCCAAGGCAGGTGGCAAGGCAGAGGCCTCTCGTGGCATGGCAACCAGGAAGCAGAGCGCTTTGGTTTGTTTGAGACAGGGTCTCCCTGTGCAGCCCAGGCTGGCCTCAAACTCATGAAGATCCTCCTGCTTCAGCCTCTGGAGTGCATGAGCATGTCCAGCTGTAACGCATCTTTTTTTGTACTGGGGATCGAACTCAGGACCTTGTGCTTGGTAGGCAGGTGCGGCACCGCTGAGCTAAATCCCCGACGCCTGTAACACATCGTAATTGTTTTTCTCTCTTTCCTCTCCCTTCCCTCCAACCCTCCTTCCCCTCCCATTTACGAAAGAGCTGTTTCCTCTTTTGCTTTAATCCCGTTTCCCTCCTCTCCTCCCTCCCCACCTCTTGGTCCCCTCCCTATGTGAACCAGTTCTTCCTCACGACCATTCCCCACCTTGGCGCTGACTCACAGCAAATTTACTTTTGGGGTTTTCATTGTTTGTATTAGCCTATGTTTGCTGTACACGATGATCACACTCCTCGAGGGGGTCAGTGCGGGTGCACAACACAGCTTCATTCTTCTCCGGCCCCACCCCTCTATCTCTTCATCCCTGCCCTTTTGCAAAAGATCTGTCTCCCTCTTTCCTATTGTCTTTTATTTTGCTCTTTCATTTATTCATACTTCCAGTTTCGCACGTAAGAGAAACCATGCAATATTTCTGCTTGTGTGTCTGATTTATTTCACTTAACATTATGGTCTCAAAGTGCATCCATTTTCCCACAAATGACTCAAGTTTATCCTTCGTGATGGCACAGTAGTACTCCATTGTGTAAATACTGCATTTTCTTTACCCATTCATGTGCTGATGGACATATAGGCTGCTTCCAAGATTTAGCTGTTATGAGTTGTGCTGCTGTAAACATGGGTTATGCATGGATCGCTGTAATGTGATGTCTTTAACTCCTTCGGGAAGATTCCTAGAAGGCGAATAGCTGGGTCAGATGGAATTTCCAGCTTTAGTGTTCTGAGCAATCTCCGCGTGGTTGCACTAGTTCGCACTCCCACCTGTGGTGGAAAGGGCTCCTTTTCCTTTTCCCTGGCAGCCTCCAGCCTGGCCAGCATTTCTTCTTATCTGATTTCTTGCTGGTGGCCATTCTTTCTGGGGTAAGATAGAATCTCAGGGTTGTTTTCATTCCCATTTCTCTGATGAAGGCGATGACAAGCATTTTTTTCCTGTATTTATCGGCCATCTCTACCTCTTCTGAGAAATTGTTCTTTCATGGGATCATTTTTCCGATTGGGTCTTTTATTCTGGGAGGGTCTAATCTTTTTTTTAGTTCTTTATAAACTCTAGATATGAGCCCTCCATTTTGTACATTGTCTCTTCACTCTAAAGGTTATTTCCTTTGCAGGGCTGCACTTTAAAAAATACAGTCATGCCTGTGTCCAAGCATGTGGGAGGCTGAGGTAGGAGGGTTGTGTTTAGGTCACCTTGGGCTACATAATACATACATGAAAGAAAGAAAAGAAGCAGATGGAGTCAGAGTCTGGAAGAATGCTACCTGCAGGGTCAGAGACGGGGATGTTTAGAGGCGGGGCCTTAATCTAGAGGGGCCCTGGAGCCCGCACGCAGAGGGGCCCCCGGCCCCTTGTCGCTGTTGCTTCGCGCCCTGTGCTCTGCCCCCTGCTGGCCACGCTGGGTATTGTGCCTGTCTCAGGAAAGCAGTGTTTTCCAATCTCTGCCTTTAGCACCCTTCCATCAGGCTGCGGAAGCAGGAAGGCAGAGGTGTTTTTGTTTATTTGTTCGTTTTGACTCAGGAGCTCCCTCTGTAGCCCAGGCTGGCCTCGCACTCCTGGCGATCCTCCTGCCTCAGCCTCCCGAGTGCTGGGATCACAGGCCAGTTGCGGGTGACAGAGAAGGTCTAGACGTGGATGGCGCCGATTGGTGGTGGTTGGTTGCGTAGTCGCGTGAGTGTACCCGATCCTCCCCAGGTCACCCTGACGGCCACCCTGGGGACACTGAACACCCTCGCTGACGTCCCGGACAGTGTGGTGCGGGGCAAGGGCCAGAAGCGGCTGACCATTTCCACCAGTAACCGGAAGCTGCTGAACTTCGTCCTGCAGCACATGACCTACACGAGCACCAGCTACCAGCAGAACCGAGTGGACGTGGGTGAGGCGCCTGCTCGAACACGCTCGGGGTGGGAAGTGCCACGAGCACCGCGGGCTGCTGGGCCGGCTCCTCCGGGAAGCCCTTGCCTTGCGATTCTTCCCCGGGCCTGTTTCCAGCCCCAGATACTTAACTTCGCAGTGACTCTACCCAGTGCCACCCCCACTTTGCCACATTCACCCCACGGACTTTTGGGGGCCCCTTACCCAAGCTGTAGCTCATCCGCACAGTGCTCAAAGCTAAGTCTTCAGGCTGGGCATGGTGGCATATGCCTGGACTCCTAGCACTCAGGAGGCTGAGGCAGGAGGATCACTGTGAGTTCAAGGCCAGCCTGGGCTACATAATGAGACCTTGTCTCAAAAAAACCCAAAACAATAAAGAACCCCCAACCCTAGGATCCCCAGCCCACCCCACCTGCTACATAGCACAGGGAGGAGGGGAGAGTTTGTTGTTGTTCACCCGGTTGCCTGTCACCCCCGCTTCCTGGGCCTCGTGGGCTTCGATTTACAGTGGATGCCACCTGGGCCTGACTGCTTCTCTTCTTCCAGTGAGCTTGGAGTCCAGGTCCGCAGTGGCCAAGTTCCCTGTGAGCATCCGCTACCCTCCAATCCCCAAGTTGTATGATCCGGGCCCAGGTAAGCCCTGTCCTCGCGCTCCATGTGGGCTCCCCGGGACCCATGATGACATGGGGGGGCCTCTGAGCTGAGGAGAAGTGATCAAAATATACATCTGATATGATTCCTGACCACAAGATTTATTTGGGGGAAAGAAATTCTAGGATACCCTTCTCTACATTGCTTAATTATATTTAAGCCAAACATGGTGGTACAAGCCTGTGATCTCAGCACTTGGGAGGCTGAGGCAGGAGGATCGCTGTGAGTTCCAGGCCAGCCTGGGCTACAGAGTGAGACCCTGTTGCGGAAATAAGACAGCAGGTCCCGTGTGGAGGGCAGAAAGGCTTCCCCGTTTTTGTCCAGAGAGGAAGCTCCGGAACCTGGTAACCATTGCTACCAAGACTTTCCAGCGGCCCCACAAGCTGAAGACCTTGCTGCAGAGCATTCGGGAGTTCTACCCAGACTTGATGGTGATCGTGGCTGACGACAGTGAGAAGCCTGTGAAGATCGATGACAAATATGTGGAGCACTACATCATGCCCTTCGGGAAGGTGCGGCCTCCCAGTCGGGGCACCGGGGCCAGGACAGGTGGCGCCAGAGGGAGGCTTGGCCCAGGACAGGGCAGCCTGTGGTCCCCAGAAGCAGGAGCCTCTCCTCTGAGTCCCTCAGTGAACCCAGATTTCAAGGAAATCACTCCCACTTTTCAGCACTAAGGGGGCAGCTATTTCAGCTTCCTTCATATGGGTGGGAGATTGGGTTGCATGCCTAGAAATGACCCTGTGTCTGCATCCCAAGAGTTCCTAATCTCTAGGTTCAACATTGGACCCATCTGTGCCCCAACTAATCCATCCCAGCTAGGGACTGTCTCACCAGTGTGGTGGCCCACACCTATAATCCTAACACAGGAGGCTGAGGCAGGAGGATGGCTGGCCACCCTGGGCCACATAGTGAGAGCTCCCAAGCTGACCCAAGACCTGGACTCCAGTAACCAGCAGTTCCCAGCCTCAGCTGGACACTGGGTTCACCCCATAGGTTGTGAGTTCATCTCTCTGGGGACCCGGAACTCTCCCCAGGGACTCTGCTTAGTCAGCAGGGTGGGGACCCACTGACCTCAGCTCCTGTGGCTTCCAGGGCTGGTTTGCGGGGCGGAACCTGGCCATCTCACAGGTCACCACCAAGTACGTCCTCTGGGTGGACGACGACTTTCTCTTCATCCCCAAGAGCAAGATTGAGACACTGGTTGAGGTCCTGGAGAACACGGAGCTGGATGTGGTGAGGGATTTGGCCTGGAGCCACGGAGAAGGGGGAGGAAGAGGAGAGGAGGAGAGGCTGGGAGGGAGGGGAGGAAAGGGCCGCTGCAGGTTGCAGACAGGGCAGCCGCCTTGGAACCCGGAGAGGTGTGCATCCCTCCTTTGCCTCCATGGCGATCCTCCTGCCTCAGCCTCTTGAGGCTTTACAGGCATGTGCCACCACACAAGGCTAGATAGGCCCATCCAGGTTGTGCTGGAGGTGCAGCCCCAGGAGGCTTCCTGGAGGAGGCAGAAGGAACCCTGGTGTTTGTGTCGCCTGCTAGGTGGGCGGCAGCGTGCAGGGAAACACGTTCCAGTTCAAGCTGTTCCTGGAGCAGAGCGAAGGTGGGGACTGCATTCACCGGAGGCCCGGGTCCTTCCAGCGCCTGGACGGCTTCCCCAGCTGTGTGGTGACCAGCGGGGTGGTCAACTTCTTCCTGGCCCACACGGAGCGGCTGCAGAGAGTCGGCTTCGATCCCCGCCTGCAGCGGGTGGCTCACTTAGGTGGGCATGAGGACGGGCGGGCCGGGGACACCAGGAACCCAGGGTTACACCCGTGGGACCCTGTCCCCTTGACCCCAAACGAGGGAGCTCACGGCCTCTCTCCGCTCTCTTCCACTCTGCCTCCCCATGCACCCTTCCTCTTCCAGCCCTGCAGCTCTGTCCCCTTCTTCCGTCCCATCCTACTTCATCTATTGTTACAGAAATCCTTTCCCATTAAATTGCAACCGGTGGAGGCATGGTGGTGCACGTCTGTGATCCCAGCACTCGGGAGGCTGAGGCAGGAGGATGCCATGAGTTCAGAGCCAGCCTGGGCTACATAGCAAGATCCTGTCTCAAAACAAATACAGCTGCCTTCGCCCAGTGCGACCCCTGCCGGGCGGTGACAACTCCCATTTCTCCCGCTCTCTCCCTGCAGAATTTTTCATAGACGGGCTGGGCAGCCTGCTGGTGGGTTCGTGCCCAGGAGTGGTCATGGGTCACCAGTCCCGTGCGCCGGCGACAGACAAGGAGCTGGCCGCGCTGGAGAAGAACTACAGCATCTATCGGGATAACACAAAAGCACAGATCCAGTTCAAACTGGCGCTGCACTACTTCAAAAACCATTTCCAGTGCTCCACATAAAGCTCAGGGCTGATTGGCTGTGGGCATCTAGAAAGGTGGAACTGGCAGTGCAAGCTACCAATGAATCAACGCTTACTGGTGGTGGGCAGGGCAACTGGATGGGCCAATCAACGTTCAAGAGTTATTAGGAATGGACCAATCACTGATCAGGGCAGTGGGGACCTTATAAATTACCAAAGCGTTAAGTGTTCCGGAGCCTTCTTTCCGAAGCTTTGCATAGATACTCAGCCACGTCCTCTGATCTCAGTTCAGCAGAAGGTCACATTGGCTTGGTGCTGGTGCCGTGAGACTCTGGTGGAAATCATGTGACCCCCAGAAACATCAGTTCCAGCTTCACTGCCATCCGCACATTTTCATTTGGTTCTATCTCATGGACTCAAAAAACTGAAAAACCAGGGTCTTTGCCTTGAGGAGCGGCAGCTGAGTCGGGTTTCAGTGGTGACAGAAAGTGGACATCTGGTAGGATGGAGGTCGGTGGAACCGCAGCGCTCGAGGCCATGGCTACCTGCGGGTGTGGGCACATGACACATCAGGTAGGGCACCATTCTTTATATCGCCGATCAGGGGCCTATGGAATGCAGTTAAAGCACAGCTAAAGTCGATAAGGGGCCTGAGGAGTTCCTGAGCGCACAAAACCAACTGGTAGCCAGGCCAGGCATGGTGGCTCACAACTGTAATCCCAGCGCTCTGGGAGGCTGAGGCAGGAGGATCTTGACTTGAAGCCCAGCCTGTGCAATTTAGTGACCTTGCAAGACCCTGTTTCAAAATAAAATATTTTAAAGGGTCTGGGGATGTAGCTCAGTGTGAAGGTCCCGGGTTCAATCCCCAGTACCAGGAAAAGAACCAAACAAACTTGGGGGCCGGGGATTTAGTTCAGTGGCACCACACCTGCCTCACAAGTGCAAGGTCCTGAGTTCGATCCCTGGTTACTCCCCCCCTCCCCCAAAGATAGCCTTAACCTTGCTTAAACTGCAAAGTACTTGAAACCTAACTTGGGTCATTTTTGGTAAATTCTTATGTTCAACAGAAACAAAATTTAACCCCACCCAAAGTACAAGAATGTGTGAATTGCTTAATTTAAATAAAGTCTTTAGAATTGTATGGTGCCTCATGTTTTTCTTTTGTGATGCTAAAATTGTCAGACATCCTGACACCTGTGATGCCAGTCCTCAGGAGGCTGAGGCAGGAGGATAGAGAGTTCAAGGCCAGCCTAAACTAGGAAGTGAGACCCTGTCTTTTTTTTTTGTATCAGAGATCGAACTCAGGACCGTGCATTTGCAAGCCAGGCGCCAGAACCACTGAGCTAAATCCCTGGCCTTTTGTGCTTTGTTTTTGAGACAGGGTCTCACTATGTAGCCCAGGCTGGCCTCAAACTCAGGGATTTGCCTGCCTCACCCTTCCTGAGTGCTGGGATTACAGGTGTGAGCTGTCACGCCCAGCTATTAACCTTGTTTTCTTATAGCTTTAAATATTTATACATGATGACAAGGGTTTTCATTTCCCGTTTGTATTGGCCCAGTCTGGTTCCTCAGACTGCCTTCTGGTGGCTGACATTCTTGAGCAAGTTTTCCTCTCTGTCCCATGATCTGGAACCTTCTGCTCCCACAGGGAGAAGCAGTCAAAATGGAGTTCTCTGCACAGTGGTCCAGAAACCCTGATCAGCTCCCATTGAACCTGCCGCCCCGTTCCTTGGTTCAAATGTGTAAAAGCAAGCTGGGCCTGATGGCTCCCTCCTGCGATCCCAGCACTCGGGAGGCTGAGGCAGGAAGATCACTGGGAGTTCCAGGCCAGCCTGAAACTACATATCGAGACCCCGTCTCAAAAGAAAAAAGGGGGAGAATCATGAAATGTGCCTGGAACGTTCCCATTTTATAGGACGTCTTGGCTCCCACTGCCCACTTCCACTCAAGGTGCCCGAGGGCGTACAGGCAGCCAAAGGGGTGAAACTGCCATTGGTCAGGTTTTTAAGGAAACCAAATTGCCCGCAGTTCCTTAAAACTTGCTGGGTGTGGTGGCAAACGCTGGGCTACACAGCCAGACACTGTCTCCCAACACAACAAAACAAAACAAAAAAAGGGCGGAGGTGTAGCTCAGTGCATGGGTCCTGGGTCCAATCCTCAGTGCCGCGAAAACAAAGAAACCAAACACACAGATGACTCCGGACATCTCATCTGGACACCCCCAGGCATGGGGATCAACCCTGGTGAGCAGCCGTGCAGCCTGCTCTGGGTGAGCAGGCCTCTACCTCGCCGCTGCGTCAGGTGGGAACCAAGGGAAGGTGGATGATCTGCTTTGCCAGTGGGCACCACGGAGCAGCAGGCCACTGGGGCCGCTGGTGAGCTTGACACCCTTGCTCTCGTAGTCTGTGAAGTGCGACGCCCCCAGCTCCCTGCTCTTGCTGGGGCCCCCCACCTTCCCAGAGGGAGCTCACAGGTGGTCCCTTTCCTGCTTGATCCTTTGCGGGATGAGTCAGCCACTTGTGGGCCTCCAAGCTTCCCTGCTCCCCCTTCACATAAATCTCCCTGTGCTTTCCGATCTTTAAATGATGGAGATTTTCACAATGTGATTGGGAAATCTGCGTCTTTGCACGTAGCCCTGTCCCTCCCCACACACACGCCCAATACTGAGGATCCGACCCAGGTTTGCCCACATTCTACCCAAACACTCACCCCCCAGGCCTTTTGTTTTTGGGCCCAGTGAGGTGCTGCAAGCCTATACTCTCAGCACTCAGGAAGCTGAGGCAGGAGGGTCATGGCAAGTTGGAGGCCAGCCTGGGCTACATAGTGAGACTCTGTCTTGTAAAAAATTAATTAAAAAAATAAAATTGCATTTTGAAATAAGGCCTTGCTAAACTGCCCAGGCTGACCCTGAACTTTTTGTTGTTGTTGTTGTTATTTGGTGTAATTTATTTTCTCCCTTGTGACCTTGAACTTCTGATCCTCCTGCCTCAGCCTCTTGCATGGCCACAATTATAGGCATGGACCACTGCACCTGACTGCGAATGTCCTCTCCCCCTCCGACTCTCACTCTCTGTTAATTTGTTTGTTTTTTGAGACAGGGTCTCATGCCTTCCAAACGTAATTATTTTAAAAGAGAAAGTGAATACATTCAATATGAGAACAGAGCCAGGCGTAGTGGCGCACGCCTGTAATCCCAGCCTTTGGGAGACTGAGGCAGGAGGATCGCTGTGAGTTCAAGGCCAGCCTGGACTGCATAGCCAGACCCTGTCTCAAAAAACAAAACCGAAGAGAGAGAACAATGTGGATGCTTGCTTTTCTGAAAGGAAGGTAAATGGCCACATCTGGGCATCAAAGCTACGGACACCACCGGACACCACTGTGAGGGGGCTGGGCTCAGGGGGTGGGGATGTAGGGGCAAATGGGAGACTCAGGGCGCCCTGGCCACCTGCCACAAGGGGGCGGTGTTGGCGTCTGTGGCTCAACCACTGCTCCAGGCGATGAGGGAGGTTTTATTTTATGTGCTAATTAGTAAGGAAAGTTTGGGTTTGGCTTGGCTTGTATGTCTTTCTTGTCAATACAATAAGTTATTCCCTATTTTAAAAACATTTTCGCTATGTAGCCCAGGCTGGCCTTCACCTCATGGGGATCCTCCTGCCTCAGCCTCCTGAGTGCTGGGATCACAGGTGTGCTCCACCGCACCTGGCTAATTTCCTGAAGTGTTACACAAATTACTTATTTTACCAGTTTTCACTACACTATAATAAATAAATAACATAGCAGGACGTGTCCCTGATCATGTCTCCTCTGTCCGCCGTGCGGCAAAGCTGCTGAGCCAATCGCGTGTTATCTCTGCGCGCTAGGCCGACCGCAGGACTCGGACCGGCTAAAGGCTGTCGCCCCTCGCGTGCCCGCACCTTTGTCGCCTGTCCCACGTGCAGACCTCGCGCCGCTCTCACCACGTGGCTTCCAGAGGCGTCTGAGGTTTAGAACCCCAGTCCCTTCCGCGCCAGTCCGCTTCCCTCACCGCTAGGCCAAGGAGTTCCCCGAACAGGCTCTCCCGCGCTAATAAATAAATAAAGAGCAAACAGCGGGCGGCCGCGTGGCCACGCCTGGAGCCTGGGGCGCTGTCCCTGCTCAGACCCCTAGGGTGCGCGGATCCGGACGCGGAGAGCGCGGAGGAGAGGACTCCTGGGCCCAGGAACGCGCGGATCTCGCGGGTCGAGGAACACGGCCCTGAGCCCCTGAGCGCGCCTCGGGCGGACCAGGCCGGCGGGAGCCGCGGAGGCCGCGCCGGCGCTGGGCGGCTTGAGAAGCCGCCCGGCCGAGTAGAGCCGCCAGCAGGTCCCATGGTGTAATGGTTAGCACTCTGGACTTTGAATCCAGCGATCCGAGTTCAAATCTCGGTGGGACCTCAGGAGAACCTTTTGGTTTTACGATTCCTGTTTTGGGGACCCGGCCGGCGGCCGCAGTCACCTCGGGCAGATCCTGGCCCCGCTGACCCACGCGGCCGCCGTTTAGGGTCCCTCCCCCTCTCTCAATACGCTCGGGTTTCAGGGCCATCCTGCCCGTTGCAGTGCGCAAGCGCATGAGTAAGTGGGTAAAAATAAAAGGCGGCGGCGAGAGACGAAGAGCGACTCCAGCCCCGGGGAAGGCGCCGTAAGAATCCGAAGGCTTGAGGCCGCCGCTCCGGGCGAACGCTGGGGCGGCTGCGCGTCTAGGAGACCACGCCTCCAACTCTTCGACTCCCTCTCTTATTGGCTACTGTGTGGAGAGCGAGTTGTGACTGCTCTGGGAGCCACCAATAAAAAGTCCGAACCGAGCCAGAGGGCGGGGAGACAGCACCCGCGGGGCTTCGATTGGTCAAAAGCAGTAATGGGGCTCCAAGGTGTGTTTGGGGGTCAGAGACCCCACTATGCGTGTGTAGTTTAATCCGTGCTAAGTCAGTGAGGTTGTCGGTGTCATTTGCTCAGAAAGTAATCCCTTAGTCTAGGCACAAGGTCTTCAGTCTGGTCCGGCCCGTCAGGGGGTCTCTGCTGACCTTCCTCACTACCTGCGCCCAGGGGCCCGAGTTCATGGAGCTTCCGGGAGGGGAGCGCAGGCCTCTTCGGAGCTGGCCGGCCTGGCCGTGTCTGTCCCCGAGGGCGCCCGCTGACGCACTTGTGCTGGTCCCCGCAGGTGATTGGCGCCGTGCCCCTGGGTGCCCGCCCGGGGATGGCATGGAAACCGGGTCCTCGCTCCCTCCCGTCTGTCCCCGAGCTCCCTGCCTGCGCCCAAGGCGCCCAGCCATCCCGCCTCAGCCCCCCTCGGGAGCGGATTCGTCACCTGATGGGCACCGCAGGGTCCAAGGTGGCCTCAGTGCCAGGGTAGGCAGAGAGCTAGGGCCCCTGCCCACTCGGACAACGCCTAAGGAAGGTGGCATCTCTGGGGCTTCCTTTGCAGTAGATTATTCGGGGACAATTTAGGACATCCGTGGGGAAAAACAGGAAATCTGATTTCTCCCGCACTTATGCCAAACACAGCAATCACTGTGAAGGAGAAGCAGATAGCAGATAGCTTTCGGAAGGCGACACGGGACAGCCTTATAACCTTGAGGCTTCATGAAAGACACAAAGGGTCTGAAAGTTTGATACATACACCTCATCATATTCTTTTTAAATGTTTAAGTTGTATTTGTTTTTTGTTTTTTTGATACCGGGGACCGAACTGGGGACCTTGCGCTTGTGAGGCAGGCGCCGGAACCACTGAGCTAAATCTCCAGCCCTAAGTTGTATTTGTATCAGTACATGTGTGGAGAGGAAGAGGACCCCATCCGTCGTGGAGAGTCGGTGCACGGCCTTACACATCTTCACTCTACACATCCACCTGCCTCCCTCCCTCCCGGCCCCATACTCTGCTCTCATCTAGAGACCCGGGTGCGAAAGTGAAAGGGCCCGGGGGTGTAGCCCAGTGGTAGAGCGTTCAACCCACCGGAAGCCCTGGGTTCAATTCCTAGTGCGCACGCGCACACACGAAAAAGTAAACCACATTTTATTTTGGGTTTTTTTGTTGTTGTTGCTTTTGTTTTTGGTTTTTTTTGGTACCGGGGATCAAACTCGGGTCTTTGCGCTTGCGCAGCAGGCGGCAAAACCACTGAGCTAAATCCCCGGCCCATTAAGCCACATTTTAAAAAGAAAAGAGAGTTACAGAATGTGGAAAGATTGAACTTGGGACCTTTTGCTTGCAAGGAAGGCGGTGGAACCACTGAGCTAAATCCCAGGCCCTTTTTTTGTTCTTTTGAGACAGGGTCTCACTATCCAGTCCAGGATGGCCTTGAACTCACTATGTCGCCCAGGCTGATCTCCAACTCACAATGATCCTCCTGCCTCAGCCTCCCAAGTGGGGGGATTACAGGCGTGCACCACCACCCCTGGGTGTAAAGATATTTGTAATGTGTAAGAGAATTTGAATCAACTTGGGCATGGTGGGACACATCTGTAATCCTAGCACTCAAGAGGCTGAGGCAGGAGGATTGTACGGAGTTGGAGGTCAACCTGGACTACATAGCAAGCCCCTGTCTCAAAAAAAAAAAAAAAAAGCAAAAAGAAGCACAACCGCCATCTGGATTACTTTGCCTACAAGTTCCCAGTCTGGGTTGCAGAGGAGAACTGGTGTATGGATGTTGGAGGGGGAAATAGAAAGAAAGAACTTTCTAACAATGTGCCCTGTCTGTCATAGAGCAGCTGAAGAGCCAGGTGGGGTGTGGTGCTACAGACTGCAATTTCAGCACTCAGGAGGCTGAGGCAGGAGGATCTAGGTAAGTTTGAGGCTAGCCTGAAATACATAGAGACCCTGTCTCAAAAAACCAAAGCTAGGGCTGAGGATTTAGCTCAGTGGTTTCACTGCCTGCCTTGAAAGCACACCATCCTGAGTTCAATCCCTGTTACCAAAAAAAAAACCCAAAGCCATAATCAAAGATCATCTGTTTCATTTCACAAGCCAGTGCACACATGCACAGACAGACAAAACTGTCTGGAGCCATTCTACATAATTTTAGACAAAAATCATTTCATAATTAGAGCCGCCTATGGCATGTGGAAACATAGCTGCGTTTTGCCTCCGGTCAGAGTTGAGACCTCAGTGGTCTGGTGATGCTGTGATGCTCAAGGGCAGGATTATATCAGCTGAAGACTTCCTGATTCCTTGAGGACCGAGTATAAGAGAAAGGTTTCACCCAGGGAGGGACAAGTTCCTGATCAGCTTAACTCATCTCACCTGCTATTGTAAGACTGCTCCCCTTACTACCTTCATCAGCATCAGATCCTCATCGACCTAAGATCCTCAACAGCTAAAGATCCTCAACAGCATAAGATCTGAATATTTTAGGATTACCACTGTCCCCTAAATCACCTGATGCTCCCTCCAGTTATTGTGTGTGCCCAATAAATAGTGGCTAGGTCAGAGAGTCTTTCTGCCCACTCTGAGGCACTGACCTCCCCATCCCCCCATATACTTTGAAATTATGCAAGTTAAGGAGCTCTACCCACCCCGTTATCCTATGGGGCTGCGCCTTTCCCAGAAGGGAGGGGGCACGCTGTGACCAGAGTCGCCAGCAGAGGGCAGCACGGGGGCGCAGGAGCCAGGCCGCGCCAGACCTTGCGTTTTCCTCTGTACCAGAGGTGAAGTGCGACAACATGCATAGACAGCGAGCCCTGGGACCTGCAGAACTCAGTCTTTTCACTGTTGAGTCAGGGCCTGTCTATGTAGCCCAGCCTGAGGAGACAGGATCTTACCACATGGCCCAAGCTGGCTTCAAACTTGCAGTGATCCTCCTGCCTCAGCCTCCCAGAGTGCTGGGAAGACAGATGTGCACCACCACACCTGGCTCCAATGTTAATTCTTAATTTTAATGAAAATGCCACGGTTATGTAAGAGACTGACATTGGGGAAGCTGGCTGAAGGGCACCAGGAACTCTGTGCTATCTTTGCAAACCTTCCGTAAATCTAAAATTAACTCCAAATAAAAACCAAATCACTGAAAACAAAGAAGTAAGGCAAGGGTGATGCTGGCACTGCTCACTGGTTTTGTCTGGGTGCCGGGGAGCCAGTGCAACCCCAGAGCAGAGGTGAGCTGCAGAAACCTTCCACACAGAGCTCCAGTGAGGGTGCCCTGTCCTCCACCTGGCTTCGATGCCTCCAGTCCGCCTGGAGGCAGGGAATGGGGCTGAACAGGCAGAAGGAGGGAGCCTGTAGTTTGTGACTGCTGCCCTTTCTGTTTATTCTTTCTCGTTTGTTGTTGTTTTGTTTTGTACCGGGGATCGAACTCAGGACCTTGCCCTTGCAAAGCAGGTGCTGGAACCACTGAGCTAAATCCCTGGTACTTGTTTTTGTTTTTTGAGACAGGATCCCACTATGTAGCCCAGGCTGGCCTCAAACTCACGACAATCCTCCTGCCTCAGCCTCCTGGGTGCTGGGATTCCAGGTGCGCCACCCCCCCATTAAGAAAAGTCCTTCAGGATAAGACAGGCAAAGATGGAAGGAGGGCAGAGGAGGAAAGGGTAAGTGAAAAGGATCAAGATGCGCTGTGTGCAGCTCCCAGCAGTGACTGGGCATTGTGTACGGCAAACACAAACTGACAAAAAGTCTTTCAAATGTTTCAAAGGGCCCAGCACGGGTCCCCTGTCCACCTCACCCCCTGCCACCCCCTCCTGAGTTCACACTGCCCCCACCGGTGCCCCGGGCTCCTCTACCAGCCTCTCCACCTGCCTGGGGTGCTGACTTCACTGCAAAGCTTTGTGTCTCTGCGGCCAATTCCGGGAGTAGGAACCTTGGCACCCGCTGTGCGGTCCCAGTTTGTTATCAGGCCACAGGGGTGATCTCCTCACAGGACTGGACTCAAGGTGGCAGAAATGGACCCCGAGCCCCAGTTCCCAGCTGATCCAGTGGGAATGGCTTTTTCCTTCCTGGCGTTGTAGGCTGTGTGTGTGTGTGTGTGTCTGTGTGTGTGTGTGTGTGTGAGAGAGAGAGAGAGAGAGAGAGAGAGAGAGAGAGAGAGAGAGAAAGACTGGGGACTGAATCCAGGACCTCTGAATTATATCCTCAGCCCTTTTTATTTTTTATTTTGAGACAAGGTCTCACTACGTTGCCCAGGTAGGACTTGAGCTTGAGACCCTCCTGCCTCAGCCTCCCAGAGAGCTGGCATTACAGGTGTGCACTGCCATTCCCGGCATGTGGGCTCTGCACCCCGCCACCCTGTGCTAGTGCTCAGCAGACAAGACTCTCCTCGGGGTCTCCAAGCTGGGTGCTGGTGGGTACACAGGAGGTGGTACAGGAGGGGGCCTCTTTACTCATGCTGTGCCTAGGAAGGTGAAGGAGACTGACGGCAGGGGGCCCAGGACATTGGCCCGGAGCAGGCACCCAGTTGCAGGGCTGGCCTGTCAGCTCCTCAGACAGCCGCCCTTCTCCTTGAAGGGGTTCCTGTCCTCCGGGACACCTCTGAGCAGGGGGTCTCTGCCCGCCTGGGCCTCCACGTAGTCCTTGATCTCCTTCCCCGTCCTGGAGACCTTCGGGGGCACAGGGTGGGTCATGGCCTGGCCTCTTTCCCAGGCCTGGGCTCCAGCAGTCCTGGCAGAGGCCCAGCGGAGAGGCGCGGAGGGCACAGGCATTGCAGGCAAGCTCCTGACCACATGCTCCCTCACACCTGACCCTGCTTCTTGTTGTTGGTTTGAGATGGGGTCTCCCTGCGGGCGCGGAGCCCAGGCTGGCCTCGGACTCAGAGTGATCTGTCAGCAGCCATTCTCCATAATTTAGGGGAAAATTCATGTCGTAATTAAAGTATGACTCTCACTAAGGCCCAATATTGCCTTGCCCGAGAGCCACCTAGGGCCTGTGGAAACAACTCTGTTTCTGCCTCTGGGTCACAGCTGAGGCCTCAGTGGTCCGGTGATGCTGTGATGCTCAAGGGCAGGATTACATCAGCTGAAGACTTCCTGGTTCCTTGAGAACTGAGTATAAGAGAAAGGTTTCACCCAGGGACAAGTTCCTGATCAGCTTAATTCATCCCACCTGCTATTGTAAGACTGCTCCCCTTACAGTCTTCATCAGCATCAGATCCTCATCAGCATAAGATCTGCATGGACAGGGGATCAGGGATCACTGCCCACCCCCTAGGTCACCTGACGCTCCCTCCAATTATTCTGTGCACCCAATAAATAGTGGCGAGCCAGTCTTTGGCTCTGCCCACTCTGAGGCCCTGACCTTCTGGGCCCCCCATGTACTTGGAAATTATGCAAGTCTCTATCGTCTTTTTCTTTAGTCCTAGCAGTCGGAGGATTAATTCCCCTCAGATAGCAATCCTCCTGCCTCAGCCTCCCCAGTGGTGGAATGAGGAATGCCAACCCCTACACCCGCCACCTGTTCTTCTGCCACTCGGAAAAGCCCCTCCATCCTTGAATCTCAGCTCCCAGTCAGGAAGGGAGGGCTGGGTGACTCACCGGAGCCCTCGGGTTCTTCACCTCCTTCCTCAGCTGCTCCACCTCCAACCGCAGCAGCTCCTTCTTGCTGAGGTCCTGGGCCATGGTGTCGTGGGGAGGCCTGGGCTGGGGGTTGGGCAGTGTCAGCTCCCCTAGCCCCTCCAAACCCCAACCGGGCTTCACTCTGATCCCCACTATAGGTGTAGGCTCTGTAGGGCAGGATGCACCCAGCCAAAGGACAAGCCACAGTTTTTGCCCTTAGCTGGGTGTGGTGAGCACATCTGTTATCCTCGAACTCAGGAGGCTGAGGCAGGAGGAGGCTGTGAGTTCAGGGTTAGCCTGGACTCCACAGTGAGACCCTGTCTCAAAACAAAGCAAAACAAGATTTTTGCCCTTGGATAAGGACCTGTCTAAGGAAGAATTGGAAGGAAGGAAAAAAGCAATTTCTTTTAGTGAGAAAGATTTGGGAACAAAGTTACTGTTCCACACACAGCTCAGGCCACTGTTCTCTACATTGTCCCTAGCAGGAGAGCCGGAAACTGGGATGAGAGCAAGGCTTTGAGACTCCAGCTCTGCCCTCAGCGGCTTCCTTACTGGGTGACCTCAGTCACCTCCCCAAGTCTCAATTTCTCCATCAGCAAAATGGGTATAAAATACCGGTAGTACCCACTCCACATGATTGTTGTACTAAGCAAATGATGTACATAAAATCTTTAACACACTGGGGCCGAGGATTTAGCTCAGTGGTTCCACTGCCTGCCTCACAAACGCAAGGTTCCAAATTCGATCCCTGGTACCAAAAAGAAAAATTTTAACACACTACCTAGAACAAAATGGACATAACATTTCTTCTTCTTCGACTTATTACTATTCTTTTTGGTATAGGGATTGAACTCAGGACCTTGTGCTTGTGAGGCAGGCATCAGAACCACCGAGCTAAATCCCCAGCCATTTTCTTATTATTATTACTGATAATAATTTTTTTTTTTGTACTGGGGATCGAACTCAGGTCCTTGTGCTTGCGCAGCAGGCGACAAAACCACTGAGCTAAATCCCCAGCCCTGATAATATTTTCATTAATCCAGGCATGGTGGCAGATGCCTGTAATTCCAGCACTCTGGGAGGCTGAGACAGGAGAATGTCAAGTTCAAACTCAGCCCAGGCAACTTAGTGACTTAGTGGAAACTTGCCTCAAAATAAAAAATAGAAAGGGCTGGAGACAGAGCTCAGAGCAAAGGCCCTGGGTTCAAGCCCCAGTCAGTACCACAAAATACAGACCTTATGGGCACTGCAGGGCACCAAAAGGCCCCGTGCCTCGCCTCCACAACGCCTGCCCCCAGTCCCAGCCCCAGCCCCACACGACCTCAGCCCCTCACCTGCCAGGACAGGCACGGTTGCCCTGTCACTGCCCAGGATGCAGCCAAGATGCAGTCTGAGCAGAGCTGCTCCTCAGTGAGATCTTCGGGTAAAGCAGATGGCTGGGGATGGATTCTCAGCCTAAGCGGATCACAGGCTCAGGGCTCGAAGCTGAGCTGAGCCACCCTCCTGGCATCACCCCACTCTCTCCCCAGCTCCCACAGCCTCTGCCTGCTGTCCCTCACCTCTTGTCTGGTCAGGTAGCCAGGCTGACCTCGAACTCCCAGGATCCTCCTGCCTCAGCCTCCCGAGTGCTGGGATCTCAGGGGTGTACCACCACACCTGGCTCCCCCACACCTGTGAGCCTGTCTACAGCTGTTCTGCCCCAGTGATCAGATCTCAGAGCAGCTGCCAAGCTCCCTCTTCCAGACTCTCTGTGTCCTCAGGGGACTCCCACGGTGTCCTCACAAGGGTCCCGGCTCATCCTCTGTGCTCCATGAAAACATTTCACACCCAGGATACAGCGCACTGGGCAAGGGCCCGGGCCTCCCTGCCTGCGTCCCCCTCCCTGGCCTCTACGGCCCCTCTGAGCCCGAGGGTGGCTCAGCCCTGTCTGAAGTCAGGAGCCGCAAGCTGGTCCCTCTCGATCCCCTCCCAGACCTGGGGGCCCCGAGCCCTGCTGTGGCTCACGCTGTCCAGGTCAGGGCCCCTCTCGAAGGACGGGATCCTAGGCGGCCTCGCCCACCCCATTACTTCATGAGCGGGAGCCCACGCCACCCAGCCTGGCGGGCGTGTCCAGCCTGTGTCCCTCGATGCTGCCCCTGAAACCAAGTGCACCTGGAGCTTGAACCTGGCACCCTCAAGTCCAAGTCCCCATTGCTGTCTAATCAGAGTCCCTCACACTCAATTGGTCGATTTCGTTTTGCGGTGTGCGTGTGCGTGTGTGTGTGCGTGTGCGTGTGTGTGTGTTAAAACAGGGTCTCACTATGGACCCCAGGCTGGCCTCAAACTCACAGCGACCCTCCTGCCTCAGCCTCCTGAGTGCTGGGACCACAAGCCTGCACCACTACTCGGGGCTAACTTGCTCGGTCATCTTGTCCTGCTTCCATCAGGGCCCCCAACCCGACCCCTCCCCGGCTTGACAGCCCCCCTGGGGGACCCCGCCGGTGCTTCCCGCGGCCTCGCTGCCCTCTCCACGGCACCCGCAGCCACGAGGACGAGGACGAGGACGCGGACCAGGACCAGGACGGACGCGCATCCCCTCCGCCTTCCGCTCCGCTCCGGGCCCTCGGTGACTCATCCCGGGCTTCCCAAGGAAGCCCCCGCCCTCGCCCTTTCCTCCCTCTTCCCCGAGTGGAAAATGCGCCCCCACGGCCGGCCGCCCCCTTCCTCCTCTGCCCCCCAGTCCCCACCCACCGGTTTCCTCTCCGGGACCAGGCGGCGGGGATCTCAGCCGCAGACCTCGCTTCCTCCGGGGGGCTGGGGGCTGGGCCCCGCGGCCAGCTTCCCCCTTCCCGGCCGGCGCGGGACCACTTCCTCTTGTCCCGAGCAGCGAGCAGGTCCACGGCTCGGCGGAGCAGATCCAGCGCGGCGAGGGCGAGGGCGAGGGCGGGCGGAGGCCGATCAGGGCGGGCGGCTCCCGGGACCCCGCGCCCGGCCATGGCGGAGCTGCAGCAGCTGCAGGATTTCGAGATCCCCGCGGGCCGCGAGGCGCTACGCGGGAACCATGCCGCCCTGCTGCGGGTCGCCGACTTCTGCGAGGATAACTACGTGCAGGTGGGCGCGCCCGGGACCCTGGGGGCAGCTGACAGGTGCTGCCCTCCCGCTGGGGGCTTCAGGGTCATCCGGGCCCCACATCTCAGCCGCGGCCCCCGTTAGTCAAGGGCCGCCCGGTCCCTCTCTCTGCCAGCGCCTGGCAGGTTGGGACAGGATCTTTAGTGATCTTGGTAGACTTTTTTTTTTTTTGGTACCGGGGATCGAACTCCTCGGGTCCTTGCGCTTGCGCAGCAGGCGGCGAAACCACTGAGCTAAATCCCCGGCCCTTAGTGATCTTGAACCAGAGGAGGGAAAGGAGTTCGTTCCTGGTATTCGAGGGAGCGTGGAGAAGTCAGAGGGGCTCGGGTTGGAGGGAGGAGGCCTGGCCAGGGCGCCGCACACCTGGGATCCCCCCAACTCTGGGAGGCTGAGGCAGGAGGATCGCAAGTTCCAGCCCAGCCTGGGCAACCTAGCAACTTAGGTAGACCGAGTCTCAAAGTGAAACACGGAAGAGGGCTGGGGATGTAGCGGGGCCGGGGGAGGCTCTGGGTTCGGTCCCCAGCGCTGCAACAGCAAAGACAAGGGTGCGGCTGAGGCCGAGGCGGGCTTTCCAACCGAGTGCGGCCAGTGAGGAGCGCGGCGGGGGGCAGCTGTTCTCCACGCCGCGGGCGGCCGGGTCGAAGCTCCCGGGGGAAGGCAGAGGGGCAGGGACCGAGGGGCTGAACACCTCTGTCCTTGTGCCCAGCTCGGCCTGCGAGGCCAGGACTGGGGTGCCGAGGGCGGCCAGGGGCAAGAGGCGCTGGTCCAGGGCCGGCCGCTCCGAGCAGCAGAGTGAGCCCCCCCGTTGTGTTCCTCCTGCCTCAGCCTCCTGAGTGCTGGGACGCGGGCGTCCTGCCCCTCTCGAGGGCAGGAAGGGCCGCAGGCCGAACGGTTACTGTCACGGCGGGCGGCGTGGGAGGAAGAGAGGCGCCGGGTAACGAAAATGCTCCCTCCAGGGAGGCCGTGTGCAGCTCGCCCAAGCGCCCAGGCCCGGCTGGGAGCCCCTTGGCGCCCAGGCCCTTCGTGCAGCACCCTAACTACGGGCCGCAGAACCAGGGGCTCCCTGGCCTCTCCCTCCGGGGGCTCGGGAGCAAACCCCGCACGGCTTCCAGAGGCCCGGAACTGCTGTGACGCGGCTAGAGCCCCCCCCCCCCCGCCCCGCAGCCAGGTGTCAGGAAACCTGCAGGGCGGAAGGGGGGCGGAAGGGGGGCGGAAGGGGCAGCTCAACCGCAGGGCCTCGGGCCCCCGGGTCTCAGCGGCGGTTGGCATGGCGACGAGTAGGCCGCAAAGCCGACTCAGAGCCTTTCTCTCCCGGCCCAGCTGTGGTCCCAGACGGAAGCCGGGTCGGGGGTCCAGGCCCAGGCACCCAGAGCGGACAGCGGCACGAGGCAGACTTGGGGGTCTGTGCGGGAGGAGAGGGCGACAGAGGAACCCGGGCGGGCGGACACCCAGGAGCCGACAGCTTGGTTCTGGGGCCGCAGGAGACCCCTGTCCCTCCTGCTGATCATCCGAGTCCCTCTCTGCCCGCTCAGGCTCTTGATGCATACGCTGATGAGATGTAAATCGGCATGCAAATGAGCACTGCTTTCCAGCTGTGGGAAGAGGGCTTCCCAGAAGGCTACCCTGGGGGTAGCCAGGTCTCTCCAGGCTCGGCCCTGAGGGTTCCGGAGGCTGAGGCAGGAGGGTTGCTGCAAGACTGAGGCCAGCCTATCGGTATTAGGTACCTTCTGTGAGGTGGGCACAACTCAGGGCAGGACGCAAAATAAAAGACAAGCTGCCTACCCTCATGGCCCTGAAATTGTTTTGAGGAAGGAGAAACAGATAATAAAGAAGAAAACAGCTGGGTGTGGTGGTCCGTTCCTATATCCCCAGCTCTCTGGGAGGCTGAGGCCGGAGGATCACAAGTTCCAGCTCAACCTCGGGGACTCAGCGATTAGGCGAGATCCTACGTCAGAAACAAACAAACAAATAATAAATAAAAAAGGGCTAGAAATGCACCTCAGGGCAAAGGTCCTGAGTTCAGTCCTAGGTAGCACACCACGATGTGCATAGTGTTTGATAGTACTGAATGCTAGGAAGGAACCAGAACAGGGAAATGAGACTGAGTAGAGAAGTGGGCAGGGGGAAGGCTAGGGTGCTGAGGGAAGGCATCTCGGGGAAGCTGAAACCTAGGAATGAGACAGGTCTAAGAAGTGCGACAAGCCTCAGGGACAACCCAGCAGGTCCAGAGCCAGAACCGGAGCCACTATGGCTGGAGGGGAGCAAGTAAGAGGGGAGCCATAGGGAAAGGGCCCAAGAGGGGTCAGGGCCCAACATGGGGACCGCCTGCAGGCCATGGGCAGGAGCTGCCATTTAATTTCAGAGTACCAGGAAGCAATATTTCTGCTCTCTCCTTGTCTGAGTTCCCAGACGCCAACCTGCTGTCTGGCTAAACAAGAAGTATGGTGGGCCAGGATTTAGCTCAGTGGTTCCATCGCCTGCCTCGAAAGCACAAGGACCCGAGTTTGATCCCTGGTACCAAAAAAAAAAAGGTTATTAAGAAGTATGGTGTTGCCGAGATGTAGCTCAGTGCCGAGATCCTGAGTTCGATCCCTAGTACCAAAAATAAAGAAAGAAGAAGTGTGGTGTCACTTGGGGAGCTCTGAAAGAGAGGTTCTTTGGGGCCACCCTCAGGGAACTCCAGGCTGAAGGTCTGGGTGGGGGCCCCACATTGGTTTGCGTATTTTTGTTTCTTGTTTCAATTTTTGTTCCCTGAGGCAGGGTGTCACTGTGGACCCCAGGCTGGCCTCAAACTGACAGCGATCCTCCTGCCTCAGCCTCCGGAGTGCTCGGATGACAGGCGTGCCCCACCAGGCCCACTGGCTGGTTTGTTTTTAAGCTGAAACATGTGCCCTCCAGCCAGCAGGGGCTTCCTCTTCCTTCTTGCTGTACCCCCTAACCCCAACAGGGCGCTCACTTCTTCAGTCCCCAGGAAGGTGGGAGTGTGGTCTCCAATTCTCTCCCTCCCCTGGCACCAAGGCCACAGGCAGCTTCCTCCATGGCCCGAGTCCCTTACCCCGTCATCCTTCCAGTCGCCTCTGCCTGTGTGGGGCGCTGGCCTCAGGTCAGGGCTGTGTGTGTTTCAGGCCACGGACAAGCGGAAGGCGCTGGAGGAGACCATGGCCTTCACCACCCAGGCCCTGGCCAGTGTCGCCTACCAGGTGGGCAACCTGGCGGGGCACACGCTTCGCATGCTGGACCTGCAGGGCACGGCCCTGAGGCAGGTGGAGGCCCGGGTGAGCGCGCTGGGCCAGGTAAGGGTGTGAACTGGGATCCCTGTCAGCCCCCACTCAGTTTGCAGCTGGGTGCACTCCTGTGATCCCAGCACTCACAAGGCTGAGGCAGGAGGATCTCCCCCAATTCAAATCCAACCCCAGCTACAGAGACCCTGTCTCATAAACATCCTGCACTTGGGGTACTTGCTGGGCAAGGTCACCTCCAGCCCTGCAGGCACTGTCGCGGGAATCCAGGGTTCCCCCCCTGCAGTGCACACCCTCGCCCTTCCTCCCTGGGCCTTGACCCTGGGATGGCTGCAGGTCACGCATGCTTGGGCCCAAGGCCAGCATCCGCCTGCCCACAACAGCCCATGTGGCCAGTGCATGGGGCGGGTCTTCCTGTCTCCCTCAGGGCTGTGGGCTTCTCCCCAACCTTCCAAGGGGAAGTGAATTACTGGAGTGGCCCCAGAGGGGAGAGGGGTCCTGGGCACTCTGGGATGGCTGCTGACAGCCCTCTCCCCCCAGCCAGGGAGTCCCCCGAAGGGGCTCCGTCCTCCCCAGCTGCTCTTCCCTGTCACTGCCCCCCAGTCCCCGGCCCCCCATTCCTTCCTCTCTGAAGGGACGGCCCTGGGCACAGACGCCACTGCCCCCTCGCCCTGGCTCGCAGATGGTGAACATGCACTTGGAGAAGGTGGCCCGCAGGGAGATTGGCACCTTGGCTGCCGTGCAGCGCCTGTACCCTGGCCAGAAGGTGCTGGCCCCCGAGAGCCTGGCCCCGCCCCCGCCCTACTGCAGGAGGCCCATCAACTTCAGCTGCCTGGACCACGTTGGCCACGGGATCAAGGTACAGAGGGGCGCTCTCCCACCTCAGAGCCTGCGCTCCTCCCCTTTTGGGTGTTTGAGGCAGCATCATGCTGAGTCCAGGCAGGCTTCAAACTCTCAGCGATCCTTCTGCCTCAGCCTCCTGGGAACTGACACAGCGTGCGCCACCACGCCCAGTGCCCCTCATGTTCTTATCCCAGCCTGCAACCCACTCCCTTGGCTATCACCCAGGTCTCCTAACCCTTCCACAGCCCCTCCCTGCGCCCCACCCGTGGGTGCGGGGTGGGAAAGGGAAGAGGGAAGGAGGATGCTGGGGCGTGCGTGAGAACGGCAGCTTCCTGTCTGGGTGAGGTCACCGGCCGCAGTCACCCAGAGCGGCTGTCTGGGAGGGCAGGATGCACCCAGCGCCTGGGGAGAGGGCTGTCACCGGCACTTGCAGAGGCCTGCTTTGTCAGTTCCAGTCAGCACGCTGCCACCCTGATCAGGTCTGTGTCCAGCCAGGCGTGGTGGCACACACCTGTGATCCCAGCTACTTGGGAGGCTGAAGCAGGAGCATGTCTGGGCTACATAGTGAGTTCAAGGCCAGCCTGACTGCATTGAGACCCTGACTCAACAAAAACCCCAAAACGTGGTCCACACAGCCCCCTTGATGTCCCCAACACATCAGCCCCCTCAGGGGGACAGCACCGCCTCCTTTGGCCACATGTGTTCTTCTGGTTGCCTGTTTTCGGGGGGTTCTGGGGAGAGAACCCGGGGCTTCGCCCACTCAGCACTGCTCCCCCACTGGGCCACCCCAGCCCCTAACATTCTCTCAGCCAAGCCCGGTTTCTGGGGGGCAGGGGAGCCCCTAAGTCGCCTGCCGCACGGGGCGTGCACCAAGTGCCCCCTCTGCCCCTCCCGGCTTTGACCTCCAGGAAGTCTGGCCGGGTGCATCCGGGGACTCGGGGACCCTGAGAGTGCGGCTTCTCAGCTCCCTGTGCCTCCCGTGGGGCGGCGGGGCCCAGGCCCCTGGGGACTGCGGTGGGCGGAGCGGAGGAAGCGGCCCCCAGACCGAGGGCTGTGCCCTTCCCCGGTGCGAGCGACAGGGGCCGAGGGGTGGGGAGCGGGCTGGGCCGTGGGAGCAGGACCGCCCCCTCCCCAGGTGTCACCACGCCCCCCCCCCAGGACCTGAGCACGCAGCTGTCGCGGACGGGGACCCTGTCTCGCAGGAGCATCAAGGCGCCGGCCACGCCCACCGCGGCCACGCTGGGGTGAGGCCTCCGCGCACCCCGAAACCGCCCCACACGCTCCTGGCCGGGCCCCGCCCCGCTCATACACCCCCCC